TTTTTTCAAATTCTATGTATAGCAAAAGAAGCAGCATTTGTATAAGATAGTTGCTAAGAAATAATTCATATAAATATCTTTATAAAAAACTTAATAATATTTGAAATAATATTTTTCTCATGTAAGCCTACTTTTAAGCAGCAACGCAGCAGCAACTCAATATATATAAATAACAATATAATACACCTTCTTAATATACAATCTCAATAAAATCCACATTTTTTTAAAGATATAAATTGTCTTTAAAAAAACGTGGATTTAAAAAAAATGTGAATCTTTAAAAAATATGGACTAATATGCAAAAACTTACGAATAAGTAATAATATGTATCTGTATAAAAATACATACAAATTTTTTTTTTTACATAACTACATATGTAATTAAACAGTGGCGGGAACAGTGGCGGGATTTGGTATTTGCGGCAATGAGCTTTCGAGTTCCTAACGCCTAATAATAATAATAATAATAATATGTAATTAAAAGATTGACCGTAATAAATTTAACAAATTCTGTATTATAATTTAACAAATTCAATAAATTAAATTTAATCGATATTCATTACAACATATTAAATTTCTGTATTAACAATACAGAAACTATTTTATATATTATATATAAGTAATAAAAAATATGTGTTTGTATAAAAACACATAATAAAGCTTCTTTTTCCGTACTAAATGTAATTAAAAAATTAAACATTTTTAATCAATTTTTTTTTATAAATTAAACTTAATCAGTATTCATTACACCACATCAATTAATTAAAAATAAGTATTATAAAACATAGAATTACACGTTTTCTAAAGCTTTTGGAAAACTGCTTTAAATTTATAAAAATTTAATTAGAATTTAACTTATCACAGTTCATTAAAAATGTTACATATTTTTAACTATATGTTCAGAATTTAAATATAATAACGAAATTTAAATAAATAAACTAATTCTTTTGAATTATATTATTCAGTTGTCTTTAATTAGAAATACCTAAAGATACTTCTGCCTCTTATGCGAATTATTCCCGCCATTTTTTGGACTGTTAAAAGAATTAGCGACCTCGAAGCTCAGCTTCTGCTTCCTTGGTCGGCAATTACGTGCACAACGTTCATGGGAGGAGTTCCTGTTAAAGGAAGTAGGTACTCTCACAGGACTAGTCTCGCGTTGATAATAGGACTTTTCAATAGAAACCCTTAATGATTATTCCTCATTATTCCGATCCGTTTCATTTGTCGTACCCTCACCTTCAATTTCGATTTCTTTTCGCATCATCTATAAATTTTATCTAATCTGTTAAAAACTCCGCTTTTTATTTTTCATACAAATCAAAACGCATAAGATTAGTAATGCAATATTTTCACCGCAAATATTCTTTAATTATTAGAATTGAAATGATATTCACGTAATTATTATTGAAAATTATCACTAATCTTTTAATTAAAGACAAAAAATTTGATGCAAATAATGAGACATTATTTAATTAATAGTTTTCGGTACAATGTGATGTAAATCTTCAAAAAAATTTAATATAACATAATTTTGTCGACAATACTATTATTTTTTTCTTTTATTTATATTACATACATTAGTGCAAAAAAACCCTTAATTTTTTTTAAACTGAATTCATAATCCATCGTAAAATATAACAGATAAACAATAGAAACATGCAATTAATATTTTCATAATATTTTATATAAATGTTATATAATAATAATAATAATAATATCATTAAATTCATATTTTGTTAAATAATTGATATTAATATTCGAAACAATTTTTTAAATTATTTAAGACGTATGTGCTAAAATATTCATTGATCTGTAAAAATCTATAAACAGCAAAGCTTCAATATGTTCCATGTAAATTTCGTTCATCATTTATGATTGAAGATTCTCTTTTTCTATGCCTGGAAAGAGACGAATAATGTCAAAAAATTCCAATTCTATTCATCGCGCTGTTAAACTGTAAGTTTTTTACAATATTTCACTTTTATGAATAAGAATGCAACTCACGCAAAGCAGATATTCGAGGACGGCGGAACTTCCCCCGGAAAGACTCTCAAAAGTTCACCTAAACCCTTTTAAAACTTCAAGGCTCGCACACCCTCTCTTGCACTTCACCCTTTCCAAAATCCCTAGTAAAACTTAAATTCAAATCTCAATTGCACTCTATATTCTCACACAGAACAGCTTACAATTAGTATTTTTTAGATATGAATTAGACTCAAATGTATGTCTATAAAAATCTGCTTTTATATGTTGCTAACAATAAATATGTTACATGTATTATATAGTTTATTTTAATCTGCATTCATTTTAATAATTTATAAAATCATTCACATGTATAATAAAACAATAGCCTTAAATAAAATTATTTTAATCATTTTACCGTTACATTTTAGATTACATTGATTAGATAAACTTAACTAACTTTGCACTAAAAATTATCAAATTATGCAAAATATTTTCTCTATTTATCAGAATATCTAAAAATATATTATATATATTGTATATAGCAAGTTTTACTATACCACAGAGAAAAATGTAATAAATGTATTTAAATTTATAAAAAAAATTAGGAACATATTTTATCTCTCAGAGAAAAATGTTCATTATAATATAAATAAATTTTTTATATGATTTGATCTCACGCGCGTTAAATCTTTTATTTTTATAATAAAAAATTCAGATATAAATTAGAATACGAGACAAAATCGTGAGATATGTACGTATAACATGTTATATTTTCATTGGTCAGGTAATGACTTCAATATTAAAACATATATTATAAGATAATTACTCATTATTTAAACTGTTAACTATATGTAGGCAATGAGAAGCACGCACATTTTTCACCGTAATTAATATACGAGATACTTTGCGAAAAATATAATAAATTCAGCGAACTATTTTACAAGTAGATTTTCTCGTTCTATTCTAAATATCTCACAGGTGCGATATAAATAATACCTATGTGATACTATTTTATTATGTGTATGACTTAGTTTTATACGTTCTAAATGTCGTAGAAAATATATTTAATTATAGCAAACAGAAATAATTTTAATAACAGAATTTGAATTATGTATTTTTTCATGTAAAATATATCACATTTAACGTTTAATACTTCTGTTATCACGGAATATACAAAAATAATCAGCACCACCTATGATTTTGCAATATAACCTATTTTAACATATATGAAAAAATAAAAGGTATTACTCAAAATTTTTTAGAGCTAATTTAATATATTTGATTGTAATCATTATATGTCGCATATGACAGTTATTAAATAAAAATTTTATTAGAAAAATAAAGAGAGAAAGAGAGAGAGAGAGACAGAGAGAGAGAGAGAGAGAGAGAGAGAGAGAGAGAGAGAGAGACCATTTCATTTAATTGCTACATATAAATAAGTATATAAATTTTTTTTAGAAATTTTCTTAAATAATATATACTTACATATATGTACATGCATATATAAATTAAGAAAAAATAGATATGTATATTCTTTTTCATTCTCTGTCATATAAACGTTTTAAAATCGATATGTTTTTAATATTAGTTTTACGTTTATGCAGATGTTTACGGTGAACTTTAATACGTATAAGATTATTCTCGTTTCACGCATATCCTTGACTAAATACCCTGTTAATACCTCAAGCGCAATGTGGATTGCGAATGCACAATCTGTAGCATTCAAATCTCGGAGCTCTAGGCGGCTTAGACCCATACATCTGCTGCCAATCAACGGTTGTCGATAGTTGCCATATCGACAATTCCACGCAATGTGTGATACCGTAATAGTATTCGATAAAATTTTTGTCATTATTATTAAAGCAAAAAACTTTTAATTAACTTCAATATGTAGTTATCTTTCTTCAAAATAATTAATTATTTGCCTTTATAGATAAGATAAAAATTTTAGAAAACAAAAAGAGATTCATATAAGATTTGGAGGCAACACTCTGCTCGCTTTTGTGCGAACAAGTTCTTAGCCGAAGTACGATTTCAGGATTGCTCGGACCACGGTAACGCGTTCGTTTGCCAGAACATCATTTTTCATCCGTCGTCTCTCATCTGGAGTCTCGACTATGATTTATCGCGCCACCGCACTGCATCGTCGAAAAACTTGCTAATGCGTACCGCGCAACGGTAGGATGAAGATGCACTGCCGTTTCCACAACACGAGAAATTCCGCAAGTATCGACAGGGTTTTCATCGAGCGCCGCGTTAGTAGAAATTAATCTCAGTTTCGTCGTCATCCGCGCTTTTGCACCGTAAAACTTCGCAACTTCCAGTCAAAGAATAATATTTAATCTGCTATTTCAATATCAACTTTATATGTAGAATTATTCACCATCTGTCTAATCAAGTCTAATGCATTTATTAAAGTAACTTACATATTGAACTTATAATATAAAAAGATCAAAATTCGTTGAAAATTATTGAAGTCTCAATTAAAAATTTTTCTAATATACAGAAAATTTTGAAAATCAATGAAATGCAAAAGCATTGAAAATTATATTTAAAATTACGTAAAATTTAATTATTTCACATAATTAAATTTACATAATTAACTTTTAAAATTTCTGTTGTTATATATATAAATATAAACTTATTTAATATTAAAATGTGTTTTTTAATCCAAACAAATTTTATTTCAACAGAGATATAATTGTTAAATTATTTGACTTCTAAAATTAATTATATAATTTCCAATACAACTTTTCTAAAAAAACTTTTGTTTAAAATTGATTACAGGATCAGTACTCTATTCGAGAAAAATATCTGACAAATATCTGACAAGAATAAGATATTAAATATTTAATAAATATAATCAATATTTAAATATCAATAAATATTTAAATGAAAATTAGATATATTCGTTGCAAAATCGATAACGTAAAAGCTTATTAGAAAAATTTGTTTGCAGCAATACTCAAGAATTCTTATATAATGTTAGATTTGCAATTTAAAATATACATGCTAAGATGCAAAATAACTCACCAACTGGACGTCGTTGTCTCCAAGAAATTCTGGCAGTCATCGCGCTTTTTGGCACAGAAATTGAGGCGGCTGCTTTGTCTGCAACATAAACATTGATCGGGAATGAAATACCTGCTCATATTAAGACGTAATTTGTGATCGCGATTATTAGACACGTCGTTTGATCATTGTTCGATTAGAAGGTCATTGAAGTTTGCTGCACCGTGCAAACCTTAGCACGTGTTGCGCCAAAAGTTGGCGCCGTTTGGTGCGTCGATAAAATCTCAATTATAGTCTTTGACGTATCACACAAGAGACCGATCTATCTATAATCGATCTAGTACATATACAATCGTTTAATAACCAAATGTATTTTTTACATTGCTAATATGTTTTATATTAATGTTTTAATATAACAAAATTTCAACATAAAATTAACATAAAATTTCAATAATTTAGTTCTTTATTTATTATATAAAATTATTGAAGCTCTATAATTTATTATTTATAGTAGCATATATTTAAGTATATGTACGTTAGCGTCATTACGACAATACTAGATTTTTAATTCATTTACCAATCAATTTGATCATAAAGGAGGGTGTTAAGTTTCAGCTGTTTTTCGACATAATGGAGTTCCAAGGTATACAAATTTAGTATTATTATAAAGAGCTACTTAAGCGAAGTCAAGTATCGCTTATTATGAAGAAATATCGATAATATAGCAGAAAATATTATAATATATCAAAGACAATAAATTAAAAAATTGTTAAATAAATCAATAAACTTCGGTAATTAATATATCAATAAAAACTATCTTTAGTATTTAAACACGTAGAATAACTTAATAAGCGTATTTGTTATTCAAGCTGGAATTCGAAATAAAACGATTATTTTATATTGAAATTATATGCTCGTCAATTGCTTGAAAATTTTCTCCAAGTTACGTATTAAGTAACACTATAGTTCTTGTTGCTATTCTCGGCGTTTCTATATCTTATGTAACAATTTTTCATTTATAAATGTAATAACATTCAATTTATTATCTTCCATCACGATTTTTCTTATATTCCTGATGTTTTCTCAAGACAAACAATACACCATTCGACTTGACTTAAGTAGTCCTTAATGTGATGTATAATTTGTACATCAAAATGTATTTCAAACTTCAAAATAATAATATCATTTATCAGAATCATTAAATGTAATAAATATTTTAATAGAATTAAATGCATTACACAAAGGATAAATAAACCAAGAACGGACAACGGAATGAAACCATTCTAATTTATCATTCTGTAAGATTACGTCGGAAATCCTTACTCTTTAATGCGTCGATAAAATCTCAATTGTGAAGTGAGATATATAGAAATTGATCCTCCACACGTCACGTTAGCATAAAAGGAAAGTAAACGTATAATAGGCGTATATAAAGCTATACTACACTGAAGGAATCTAGACTATTATCTGGCAGACACTCATTGGCTTACGGCACGACCGTTACAATTTCGCACCGGACGCGCTAGATACGATGGATCGTGGTATCTCGTGCTGGATTTAATTGAAGCCCTTACATAACGGTACGGAGTTAAGGTTTATCTACTGTCAAGGGTCAAATATGTTCTGCGAAAAGTGAGAAACGGAATTATCTCCTCCATACCTATCAAACAAGACCTCGCGTACGCCACTCACGAATCCTTAAAAGGACAATTTTATGGATATATAGAAGTTATCATTTAAAAATCTGAATGACAAAAAAGAATATATTATGCACAACAAATGAAATTATTTATCCTTTTATTTGATAAATAGCAACCGATTAATTAACGCAACTGCAAATTAAAAATAAACATTACATCGTGAATGAGATATAAATTTACATCACGAAGTTCTAGAAGAAAAAAACACATAAACAAACAAATATTTGCAATAAATAACCTTCAGTGATTTGCAACATCGTATATTAAACAAATACTATAGTTTACGCGGTTCTTTTGCAAAAATAAATAGATAATTTCTATTTTAATAGAACAATTTTAATTTCATTAGCTTTAACTCATTTTATTATAAGTGTAACTTATAATAGTTTTTTTCAATCTCTCTCATTAATTATGAAAGATGACACGTAAAATAAAAAAATAGAGTGGACTCGTCCTAATTGAAGAGCACTGCAAACTGCTATAAAGAGCTAGCAGCATCTTTCATTATCAGTGGAACCGCAAGAAAAGTTTAAAAATCTTTTTACTCTCTTTTCTGCATTTCCTTACAACTGTCTTAAAGAAAAATATGATGGAAAGATTTCTTACATTTTATGTACTTTAAAAGTTTCTAATTATTTCTAACATTACTCTCTTTTTCTAAAAATAGTTATAATAGACTTTTCATACATGCAAAAGAAATTATACTTTAATTAAATATCGCAAACAAAATCTTTATTTATGACTATTTCTGTTTGAATAAATTTTACAATTATAAAAATCAATTTTTGCGTTAAATTTCAATTGTTTTTCCTATTTTCACTATGTTTTGATTTTTTCAGCGAGTAAAAATAAAACTAATATGATCAAAAAGCATGAAATTAAAATCCTTTTAACAACAGAAAACTATTCAAGTTGCACCTTGTTTATATAACTCATCAAATTACTCTTTTAATACAATATATGAAGTACATGTACTCTATGCACATACATTTATATGCATACTATGCATATAAATTAATTAAGTGGTAAAATAAACCATCGTTATGTGGCATCATAATTCGCGCAATATCTATATAATAGCACATCGAGATGTTTCCGTAAAATACTCAACCCTTTCACTGTTGGATATAATAGTGCACATAAAGAGAGTTATAAATTCTTCGTGCCAAATAAAATTCTTTGTAGACATATCAAGAAATACGCGAAAAGCAATAACGTGCGAGAAAATATCACGTTTTAATTTCAGAAATTAATTACCACGTCATCCGTGGAATATGTATTTCTCCGATTTCGTTAAATATTTCCGTATTTCAAAAGACTGATGAAAATTCATTGCCTTCGTACAATGTAATAATAAATTTTTCACTCATCAGACTCATTCATAGTTAAGAAATCACATTCAATAATTATTTTAAATTTTTTCTCACTTATTTTTTTAAAATAAATCTGTAGCTAGAATTAATTAAAAATTAATAAACATAATGAACTACATACATATTCTACGTGAACTTTCCGAACATCTTATTCAATATCTATTTTATACGTGTGTTGAAATTTTTATTCAAGAGTTATAGAAAGCAGAATTATTAAACTTTTCGAAAGATCATAAATGAATTAAAATATTAAAGACAAGGAACTTAAAAAACTGCTTTTAAAGAGAAAAATGTCTTACAAAAGAAGACTAATTTATATCTAAAAGAGGGTTATTCTAAATTATTCTATCTTATTCAGAGATAACATTATGTTCCAAATCGGAACATAAGACGTACGTCTTTTAAAGATACACGTCTTTACGTGTACGTTTCACATTCCGATTTTGGATGGTACTATCTGGATAAGATTCATAACAATCTATTTCTTATGATATGATGTCTAAAAAGAAGTTTTTAAAATATTTTATGTCCACGCTGTTTGAAATATTTCTCTTTCATATATATATCATTTTCGACTTCCACAATTTCAGTAAACAAAAATGTATGATTATACAGTATAATTCATAAAATACAGATAATATTTCTTGACACTCATTCATAGACGATGGAGTAGTTACCAATTATTCAGTGGAGGCCAGAAAATAAACTCAGTTAATTCGAAACGTCCCTTTGTTCTTTTATTGTTCTTTTCTCTCTATATATGAATGAATATATTATTATAATATCCTTTCAATTTGTTTGTTACTTAGCTCTATTTTCTAGTTCATAAAATAAATTTGAAAGAAATTTTCTAAAAGCCTATTTCCTACAATACCTAGAAAAATGTCAGATTATTTCTTTTCATATTTCAAAGAGAGGAAGGTCGCAATTTGCACATCGCACGTTTATGTTAGCGTTGTTACTGAGTTATCACCGGTAACTGCCGCGTAGAAGTAATTACTGCCTCTTCTCGAAAGAGCGGCGACTATTAATCGTCGCTACTGCTTATCATAATTAATTGCAGGATATAACGAGCAGAAGCGTCGCGCCAAAATCCGTAGCTCAACAACATCAGGGGTTCCCACGAAATCTAGCTCGCGTGATATTCAATAGCATGCAAGCTCGGTGGGCCGCGGATTTATTGTCGCTCTGGCGCCGAGCGTTTATCCGGGATGGGTGGCGTTTTAACGGGCTCGATATTTAATGGGCGTCGCCGATAATATTTCTCGCCACTTACTCGTCGGCAGTGGTGAGCAGCTAATCAACGGACGCCAGAAAAAAAAGATAGTCGCAGAGGAAATAGCTCCCTTAGGACAGATCACTTCCGATAAACTACGTTAATAATAATGATAATCAGTTCATAAAAATGGGTGCAGTAACAGTGATAATATAGAGAACCAGTTTTATTATTTCAGAGATTCTGACAAGATAGATGTCGCATCAAACCGAGAGTACAAAAGCATAAAAAATCACGAGGCCATTCTATATCCGCATCATCACGTAGAATTCTTTTCCTACAATTTTATTACGTTGCATTGCGATATCGTCGCACGAGTTTTAATAAGAACATTGACGTTTACAATAATTGAAACTCGATCTGATGACGTTTGTAATAATTGAAAACTGGAGTTACTCCTCAAACGGTGTGGCGGACGATTGCTTGCGATCGATCGTTTCTACGAGAATTCCTATTAAAGTTCCGGCAAGCTGGAGTTATACAAGAACTCCGTTCGTGAAGTCGATAGATGCGCACGTGTACACACGTTAGACACGTATACACTTGTACACGCACACATCGACGCCGACAAATGGCTTTTGTACATCCCTGGTTGGTGTGCGGCAAGACATGCCGCAGGGTTGGAAAACGTGAAAAAGAACGATATTTCGTTCGTGGAATAACGTTTGTAAACCAAAAGGGAGATTACGCGGGTTATGCGGGCGGACATTATAAGCGGTGCCTTTGGTTTGTATCCAAATACAATGTCCC